TGCTGTGGAGCGCAAGATCGAGCCTTTCTACAAGGGCGGGAAAGTGCAGGTACCAGCCCAGGGAGGGGCAGAGTGGTGGGGCAGGCAGGGACTGCAGCGTGTTACCTTGGCTGAGACCCCCCTGTCACCAGCTGGACCAGACTGGGCAGCACCTCTTCTGTGTCTGTGGAACCAAAGTCAACATCCTGAATGTGGCCTCAGGGGCTGTTCTGCAGAGCCTGGAGCAGGTGAGGGCAGGGAGAGCCAGGGTTCGGGACTAGTGTGGAAAGGCAGCCTCTTCTCATGGTACTCTGTGTGCCCACTCTCACGCATAGGAGGACCACGAGGACATTACTGCCTTTGATCTCAGCCCTGATGATGAGGTATGTGGGGTAGGGGCAGGGGGTAGGCTCCAGTACTTCCCAGTCAAACTTTGAGTCTATAAGGATGGGTGGCCATGTCTCTACCTGCCCCCCCACCCCCCAAACTGCATTTCCCCCCAGGTGCTAGTAACAGCCAGCCGGGCACTACTGCTGGCTCACTGGGCCTGGAGAGAAGGCAATATCATCCGCCTGTGGAAAGCGATACACACAGCCCCTGTGGCCACCATGGCCTTTGACCCCACCTCCACACTACTAGCCACAGGTAGGGCCCCAGCTGGGTGGGTGGGCACATGAGTATGGAGCTTTGGGCACACCAGCCCTTCATCTCTAACATATTTCCGCAGGCGGCTGTGATGGGGCTGTGCGTATTTGGGACATCGTGCAGCACTACGGGACGCACCACTTTCGGGGTTCACCGGGTGTCGTGCAGTGAGTAGGGGCAGCAGAGACAGCGTGAGTGGGCCATCACACTGAGGTGGCACAGCTCACCTGCCCCGCCTACTCGCTTGCAGCTTGGTGGCCTTCCACCCGGACCCGGCACGCCTGCTGCTCTTCTCCTCGGCCACAGATGCTGCCATCCGAATATGGTCGCTGCAGGGTCAGTCGTGTCTGGCTGTACTGACTTCCCACTACAGTGCTGTCACCTCGCTGACCTTTAGTGCCGATGGCCACACCATGCTCAGGTCAGTGGCCTGCTACGCAGGCCTTAGCAGGCAGGGGAGGGCCATGGCTGAGACTTGGGAACTGAGGTGGCTCTTTCCCCCAGCTCTGGCCGGGACAAAATCTGCATTGTCTGGGACCTGCAGAGCCACCAGGCCCTGAGGACTGTCCCAGTGTTTGAGGTAGGAGCACCAGGGTGATCGAGGCCAGTGAGTGGGGCAGGGTTGGGGGGTGGGGCTGCCACCTCTGACCTGTTCCTCCTCAGAGTGTGGAGGCTGCAGTACTGTTGCCAGAGGAGCTGGCACCTGAGTTGGGTGTGAAGTCCACGGGCTTATGCTTCCTGACCGCTGGCAACCAAGGTGTGTGAAGCTGGGGCAGGCAGCAGGGACTGGGGGCCCACGGACCTGTGAGTCCCAGCCGCTTCTGTCCCCGCACAGGCATTCTGCGTGTGTGGGAGGCAGCCTCTGGGCAGTGTGTACACGCACAGCAGCAGCTGCCGGGCCCTGGGCGGGAGCTGACCTATTGCACGTTGGTACGATCTGCTGGTCTGCTTCTCAGTGTCACTGCTGACCACAACCTTCTGCTCTACGAAGCACACTCCCTGCAGCTGAAGAAACAGGTGAGTACAGTCCCTAGTCAACCCACCGCCTGGGAACACTGGCCCTCTTCACACAGGCCCTGGCTTGTGTCTCTCTACCCTACAGTTTGCCGGCTACAGCGAGGAAGTGTTGGATGTCCGGTTCCTGGGGCCCAAGGACTCCCACATCGTCGTGGCCTCCAACAGCCCCTGCCTAAAAGTGTTTGAGCTGCAGACATCAGCCTGCCAGATTCTCCATGGCCACACAGGTGAGGGTGCCCGGCCAACGCCCCCAGGACCCCTTCCCTTAATTGATCTCTGACCACATTCCCTCCCCTTTCTCCCAGACATTGTCCTGGCCTTGGATGTGTTTCGGAAGGGGTGGCTCTTTGCCAGCTGTGCCAAGGTGAGGTACCCCAAGAAGTGTGGAGGTATGGGTCCCCGGTGGGAAAGCCGGGCCCAGCCTCTCTCTTCACACCTCTTGTCCCCAGGACCAGAGCATTCGTGTTTGGAGGATGAACAAGGCTGGCGAGGTGACCTGTGTGGCTCAGGGCTCCGGGCACACACACAGCGTGGGCACCATCTGCTGCTCTAGGTACGGGCCACGGCTGAGGTCTGGGGTGTCATGGACATGGAGGAGTTCCAGCTCAGGAGGACGGGGAGGAGAAGATAGTGGCTTTGGCTTTGCTCTTTGAAGCTTCAGTGTAGGGATCTGGAATAAGGAACGGGCCAGGGGCATCCCAGGTACCAGTGTTGGAGGAGTGTTCCTCAGCAGTGGCCGTGGGGTAGGACAGATCAAAGGAGCAGGGTGTTGAGGCAGAGAGAACGACCCTGAACAAGGTCCAGGTGGAGAAGTTACTCTTTGCATTTAGGGCTAGGAGTCCCATTATTGGGACAGAGTCGCCTGTTGTGGTACTAAGGGTGGGCAGTGTGGCCTTAAGTGTAGGCATGTGGTGCCAGAGGTGTGTTTGGGGGACTTGACGCCATTTCCCTTCTGGGACAGCCCCTCTGGTCTAGACTGTGGTCCTGCAGGCCTGAGCTGTGGTGCATTGGCAGACTAGGCTGGTCAGGGCTCGACAGGTGTCTCTCCCCTCACCCCCAATCGGGCCTCAGGCTGAAGGAGACCTTCCTGGTGACGGGTAGTCAGGACTGCACTGTGAAGCTGTGGCCCCTCTCCAAATCCCTGCTGACCAAGAGCACTGCTCCAGAGAGTGGCCCTGTCGTCCTACAGGCCCAGACCACACAGCGCTGCCACGACAAGGTGACCACACACACAGTACATGGGGGGTTAGTGCCTACTGGGGTAGGGGTTGCTGAGCTGCCTCCTGTTCCCACCACCAGGACATCAATAGTGTGGCTGTTGCCCCCAATGACAAGCTGCTGGCCACTGGCTCCCAGGACCGCACAGCCAAGCTCTGGGCTCTGCCACAGTGCCAACTGCTGGGTGTCTTCTCAGGCCACCGGCGTGGCCTCTGGTGTGTCCAGTTCTCACCCATGGACCAGGTGCTGGCCACTGCCTCAGCCGATGGCACCATCAAGCTCTGGGCACTGCAGGACTTCAGCTGCCTTAAGGTAAGCTGCCCCCACCCTAGGCGTGACCCACACCTGATGCCATCTCACACCTTCCCTGTCCCAACCCTGCAGACATTCGAGGGGCACGATGCTTCTGTGTTGAAGGTGGCCTTTGTGAGCCGTGGTACACAGCTGCTGTCCAGGTGAGTGAGCTGGGGACAGGGCAGTGGTTGGGGTGAGTTGGGGGACAGGCCCAAGTGCTGAGCCCTGCCCCCAATCCCAAATCCAGTGGCTCTGATGGGCTCGTGAAGCTCTGGACCATCAAGAACAATGAGTGTGTGAGGACGCTGGATGCCCACCAGGACAAGGTCTGGGGGCTGCACTGCAGCCAACTGGATGACCGTGCTCTTACTGGCGCCAGTGACTCCTGTGTCATCCTCTGGAAGGTGTGTGGGTTTGGGTGGGGTGGGCATGGGACGGAGTGGGCAGGGCAGCATGAGATTCTGTTCTGACCCTAGTCTGACCCCAGGATGTTACCGAGGAGGAGCAGGCAGAGGAGCAGGCCAAGCAGGAGGAACAGATGATTAAGTAAGTCTGGAGGGTCCCCACCCAGCTTCTTTGTGGGTACCACCAATGTGTCTGGCACTTCCCATGCATCAGCATCCCCTCCCCGCCGGGTAGGGTATGTTAGCATCACCCCTGCTGTATGGAATGGGGTGTCTGAGGCTTGGATCACAGCTCTCCCCGTCAGTGAGTGCTCATGTCTGGTTTGCCGACTCTTGAGCCAGCCCCCTGATGGCTTTGCCTTCAGACCTGGCCCTGTGGCCCTGTCCTCCTCCCTTTTTCCCCCACCAGGCAGCAAGAACTGGACAACTTGCTCCAGGAGAAGCGGTACCTTCGGGCGCTAGGCTTGGCCATCTCCCTAGACCGGCCCCACACTGTACTGAGTGTTATCCAGGGTCAGTGCGGCGGACCTGATAGGTGGCAGTGGTAGGTGGGGGGTCCTCTCGGGTCTGACCTGACCCTTTTCTGGGTCTTATCTTCCTCCTGCAGCCATCCGGAGGGACCCAAAGGCCAATGAAAAGCTGGAAGCCACAGTGCTCCGGCTACGGCGAGACCAGAAAGGTTCGGGTGGGTGGGTGGAGGCTGACATGGGTGGCGTGGCCAATGGGCAGATCTGACTATCCCTGTCACTTGTAGAGGCCTTGCTGCGCTTCTGTGTCACATGGAACACCAACTCACGGCATTGCCACGAAGCCCAGGCCGTGTTGGGTGTGCTCCTGAGACACGAAGCCCCAGAAGAGCTGCTGGCCTACGAGGGTGTGCAAGCCTCACTTGAGGCACTGCTGCCCTACACTGGTACATGGACATGGCCTGGGTGGGGGAGGGAGGGAGTAGCCCAACCAGACTTCACAGACCCCTGACAACCTCTGTCCTCCATCCCCAGAGCGGCACTTTCAGCGACTCAGCCGGACCCTGCAGGCAGCCACCTTTCTCGACTTCCTGTGGCACAACATGAAGCTGCCCACCCTCCCTGCGGCCTCCTCTGCCCTCTGAAACATACTTTTCTATCCCAGGCTCCTGTGTCTGTTTGGGCTTTGTCTCACCCCAAGTCCCAGGCCATAACCTCGGCTAAGCACCATCTCTGTGCCTTGGTCCGGCTGCAGTCCAGCAGGCCCGCCCCTCCACATGCACACTGGGTGTGGGTTCATCAGAAGAACTTTACTCAAAGGAAATGTGAGAGTATAGCTCCCTGGCCCTGCCAGCCAGGGATTCCCAACCTCAAATGCACCTCCCCTACCCTGAGGGTGGGGTGGCTGCCGTCAGTTACTCTGGGGAATCCAGGAGTTCCATGGAGGTCTGGAACCTCCATGTAGTTCCACACACCCTCAAGGAGGTCCCTGACCCCGTGGGTCCCACCCCAGTGCATTATAGGTAATGGTGCAGCAGCACCTCTGAATGGCACTCTGCAGGGGGCGGGTGGGCACAGCAGGGGGAAGGGTCACAGCCTGGGGATACTGAGGGGAGCATTGGGCCTCCCCTACCCTGTCTTCCCTACCCTCTGCCCCGGAGTGGAGTCCTGGTCTGCTCAGGAGCACGCCTAGCCCATCTGGCTGCAATAGCACAGAGGGGAGAAGACCTGTGCATCCACTGAACCTGCAAGGAGAGCAGGGTTTGGTCAGCACTTGGCCCTGCCCATCCCCCAAGATTCCCCCCTTCCCCCACTAAAGCCCCACACCTGCACAGCCACCAGCCTCGGTCTGACATTTCCAGCACTTGCACTCTTGCCCCCGCAGGCACTGACAGCTCGTCGATTTGGCTGCCGTCATAGGCTCGGGAAACAAAGAACTGGGACCCTGGGAGTGGGCACTTGGGGGTTAACCACGGGGGCTCCCATCTTGGTCCCTTCATCGCGCTCTCACTGAATCCCCACCTCTGGGCTGTCACGCTGGATCTCTGCTGATACCAGGGACCACTAAAACCCACTAGGGCTCCCACCTGCTATGGGCACCAGGCACGCCAAGAACCACCCACTACCTAGTATGTCCACGGCATTCCTCCCCTGGGTCAGGTTCTTCCTGTATCCCAGCCACGCACTACTCAGTGGTCATGGGTGCAGGGAGGACGGTTAGTCTCATACCACTACCCTGTAGGGGCTGTCCCCCATCTTGTCTCTGGTCCAGGGCCGCCACCTCCAAGTAGGGAGCAGGAAACCATGCTATCTGCTGGTCTTCGTTAGCTACCAGCCACCAGCCTGTGTACAAGAGGTGTGCAGGGGTTCAGATCCCCAGGCATGCTGGGATCCTGGGGACAGCAGATCATTAGTCCCCAGACATCTGCCCAGCTCCACCTGAGGGGTGTTGCAACAGCACTTCTAGTGCCTCCTGGGCTCGAACAAGAAAGGGTTGGCCCCTTGCGTCATGGGTGCTAAAGGGCTTCAGGGAGTGCAGTCTCAAAGTCACCATGCTGCCAATGGCAAGGCTTCCCACAGGGCAGGGGAGGGGCTCTTCCCAGACAGTCAAGATCACCAGGCTGGAAGGGCAGTGATAGAAGAGAGGTGTGTGAGGGTGAGCTGCCACCCCTCACAAGTTCACGCAGCCGTGTACCTCCTAGCCCCTTTCTCCAGCATGCCGTCCCCATCCTCCAAATGCTTCCTGCAGGGAATTAGGAATTGAGCAGGCACCTGCCAGGTGGCAGTGAAGGCTCCAGGTCCTGAGGCTGCGGCTCTAAAAAGCTGATGAGTGCCGGTCCCCTAGACACACGCTCTACCATCAGCAGCATCTGCAAATAGGTCTCCAGCAACCGCAGGTGTGCCAGGCTGCGGCCTGTGCGACCCCCACGTGCCAACAGCAATGCAGATACATCTGTGGGCACCACACAGGCAGATTGTAGGACCCCGCCTCAAGGTTCCCACCACCAGGCTACTGCTGCCACCCCTGCCCCTCCCAGGATCCCTGTGGCCTGACCCGGAAGCTTGGGGAGAACTCTGTCAGATCTCCGCAGTAGGCCTGCCTCCACCCGGAAGGTCTTGAGGGTCTTCTATGGACAAGAACCAGCACATGGGTCTTTGAGAGCCCACTGAGTTACCTTGGGAGGGCAGGAGTCTTAGGGGCTAGAAGCCAGCATGGGCATTGGGGCAGGGAGTCATTCAGTTGTAGGACGTCAGGGTCACCCCAGGTTCACTCACGTGGAGCCTCCTGAACTCGTCACAGCTCCTTTGCACGATGGTGTTGCTGTTGTCTGACCAGCGCACAGAGAAGGCAAATGTCTGCTGGAGGAAAGGGTGCAGGCACCTGGGAAGGACTGGCCCATGCACTCCCTCCCTCTCCGCCCCACCTCCCTATTTCCTTCTGAGGTTGGCAGTGACCAGATCGTACTTGGAGCCTCTCTGTCTGCACCAGCGCTGTTGCATGTACTGACACCGGGTGCCGAGGGCCTGCCATAGCCATGGCCTGATGATAGTGAAGCTCCCTCCCAGAAGACTGGTTGGAGTTCCCGTCAGCCTTTGAGAGGCCAGATCCTTGCAGCACTGCCTTACCCCTGTGTCTTTCTCAGTTTTCTCACTGGGCCCCAAACTGAAGATCTAGGTGGAGAAACAGGCTTGGAGGGTAGGAGGGAGAACACAGGCAGTGGTGGGAAGGGGGGCGGGGCTGAGACTGCTGCCTGAGGCCCTCTGCCCCTTTCCAGTGCAGTGCAGGGAGGAGAAGGAAGAGCCATCAAAGTGCCTCGCCAGGCCTGGCCCACCCTCCAGGGTGCCCCACAGTGCTGTGTAATGCTGGGATTGGTGAGAGCCTCAGGAATTTGCCTGGAGCGCTGACACCACTTGTCATCAGTATTGGCTTCATCCTTACAGTGGAGAAAAGATCTCTCAATGTCCCCAAGGAGGAAATTTGTGTTAAGTGAATAATGCCAGCTTTCCTCTATGTGTTTGGGAGAGCTGGACCTCAGGCACACCCCGGAGGTTCCCCTCTCTGTGGTCACCAGCACTTGGTGGTGGGGGTGACTAGGACTGTTTTGAGAGCTGCCTCTGAATTTACAATTAAAAGTTACCGCAAACACAGCCTCTGAGATCAGGAATAACCATTCCCCCATTGGGGTAGTGAGAAGACCCTGGAATCTCCAGAGGGTGTAGCCTGGTGCCCCACAATTCTGGGCTGCTTCCTTACAGGGGAGATTTCTGGGGCCCCATCTAACCTTGGCCCAAAGTAGTTCTTCCTGCTGATAGGGATACCAGCTCTGTGTGAGGATCCCCACCCCACCCCAAGCCCTTCAGGGAGGGGTCAGCCTCCAGAGCATTCCTCCAGGGAACCACCCTGGTGCCTGGACAAAGGGCTTTTGTGTGTCCCTCCAGCAGCTCTCTCTGAAGCTTTCAAGCCTTTCCCAGTTTTGGCCTAGACAGTGAACACTGCTGGCATAGGCCCGACATGCAGAGTGCCGTTAAGTCAACCTCAGTGGGGGCTATGCTGAGGGTGCTTGGCCTGGCAAGGTCCAGGTTGGAACTGGCAAGACAAAGTACAGAAGCTAGGGAAGGGCCAATTTACAAACACCTGAGACCCTCTCAACTTCCCAAATTGACCTCACCCCACATTCCCTGCAATCTGGACCCTTCCCACTCTCTCCTTCTCTATAGCCCCTACCCTCATCTCTTATTTGGATAACTACCCAATGCCCATGCTCTTCATTTGCTCCCATGAAGTTCACTTTTTTAAAATTTATTTTTTCAGATTTTATTTATTTTTAGAGAGGGGAAGGGAAGAAGAGAGGAAGAGAAACATGAATATGTGGTTGTCTCTCACACATGACCCCTACTGGGCACCTGGCCTGCAACCCAGACATATGCCCTGACTGGGAATCAAACCAATAACCTTTTGGTTCACAGGCCCACGCTCAATCCACTGAGTTACACCAGCTAGGGCCTTGAAGTTCACTTTCTAGAGGAATCTTTGCAAAACAGAAATGGGATCAGATAGAAGTAGCCCTACCCAAAACTGTTTAGTAACTTCTGAAGGCTCTTGGAATAAATTCCCAGTCACGGCAGCTAAGGTCCTTGATGGGCCCTTGCCCACCCCAGGTCCTGCCTCACTGTCTTTCTGCCCATGCAAGAGGCCAAGACCCTCCCACGCCCAGCCTTGTCCTTGACTGTCCTCAGCTGATTCCTCATCCTTCAGGTCTCTGCCTAAGGGTCACTTTCTCAAAGAGGCCACCTGAATTCTGAATTTACCACATCGTTATGGTTATGACCCCCGCCATAGTTTGAAAGTGAACATTTATTAGTGTAACTCCTTTTTTTGTTCCGTCTTGACCACTGGATTATGAGCGGAGGAGGTCCAGTTGTATCTTGTTCCCCACCTTGCCTAGAATAATGCTTGGATCACATTAGGCGCTACACAAATATTTGCGGATTGAATGAATGTACGTATGGAAACAGAGGTATCCCTGAGGCCACTTGTGACGTGAGTTTAACTCCTTCATGCAAGCTAGAGGATACGGAGCCCTTCGGTTCACACAGACGCCCACACACCACCTCCCTTGTCCCACCCCATTTTCCCTTACGCTCGTTGCCATGGCGCCGGCCATGATGGGGGGGGTGCGGATCCCCCCAGATTCGAGCCCTAGAGCTCACCACCCTCTGTGCGCTCAGTGCCCTGCCCTACGTTGCCATAGCGCTGCGCAGCCGGCTGGGGGGCGTGCCCCAGGCTGAAGGCACAGAGTCGGGCCACTGGCACACAGAACGGTCAGAGCGGAGGGATGGGGGCGTCGAGGGCCGCAACACGGAGTTCTCCTCGGCCGCAGCCCGAGTCCACGGCGCGGCCGCGGCGCACCTTCCACAACACTCTGCTCTTCTACTGGAGGAAGCGGGAGCCTCGCCATGAAGGACAAAAGCCGCGCTCCGGCAGCAGAACTAGGCCCAGGGGCGTGGCCAGGACCCGGGCTCCCCGCGCGTCCACGGCCAGAACCCGTACTTCGGGCTCTGCCTCCTCCCGGGCGCGTACCCCAGCTCCCAGTTCGGTCTCCACGCCGGACCCTGCCTCCACGCGGGACTCCGACCCCAGTCCTGACCCCAGCCCGGCCTCCACCCCCGAGTCTGCAGCGTGCACACCGGGCTCCTGTGGCCGAGTTCTGGCAGCCGCGCGCGCACTGTCCTGGAGGTCGACTTGGAGGCCCTTCTGGAGACCGAGCTGGCCCATCAGGCACTGCGCGGGCAACATGGCTGCACCCAGCGAACGGTGGCGCTTCGGCGGCGGGAGCCTCTTCTCGTTTCTGCCCGGCGGCGCTCGCTCCGAAGCAATGGAGGACCTGGTGACAGACGCGCGTGGCCGCGGCGCAGGACGAAAAGATGCCGCTGCCGCCTCGGCCCCGACTCCAACCCTGGTGCCGACCCCCGACTCTCAGGTCTCCGAGGACACCACTCGGAGACGGCCCTGCCGTGCCTGCGTGGACTTCAAGTCGTGGATGCGGACTCAGCAGAAGGTGCAAATTCCCGGGAATGCCACCTCTTCGCGGAAGCTAGCGAGCCCTGCCCACCTCAGCCCCGGCCCGCACACGACTTCCCTCCCGGTCCCGGGCCTTTGGCCCCCACATTTTGTTCTCAGGCACCTCGGGCAATCCCCGCAGCGCAAGCCCAGGGATCCGCCCTGGCCCTGGCGGAGCGGTCCCACAGGTCCTCTGCAAGAGAGACATGCCCCGTAGAGTTGACTATTCCTGAACCTTATTCCTAAGGTAGCTCTGGCCTTTCGGCTTTCATACTTACGTGGGCTGAATCTGCTGCAGGACTAATGTCGAGTCAGTGGGCCTCCCGCTAGGGAGGGAAAAGGGGGAGCTTTGTAGGTTTCTGGTCGGGGGAGACTGAACTAACCCTTGGTTGGCCTCCTTCCGCAGCGGGACAGCAAGTTTAGGGAAGATTGTCCTCAGGATCGTGAGGAACTGGGCCGACAGAGCTGGTCTGTTCTCCATACCCTGGCTGCCTACTACCCCGACCTGCCCACCCCAGAACAGCAGCAAGATATGACCCAGTTCATACATTTATTTTCCAAGTTTTACCCCTGTGAGGAGTGTGCAGAAGACATAAGGAAGAGGTAAGTTATTCTGTACCGTCTGCAAGCAACAGAGCATCTTACCTGGAGCCTGGACCTGGGGCCCCTGACTGATATCATAAAGGAGATCCTAGAGAAATAGGTGCAGAGATGGCAGAGACTGGCAGAGGGTTGCCAAGAGCAGGGACCATGCCCAGAGTTGGGATTGGATCATCTGAGCAATCAAAGGCCAAACAGCCTGGGGCTGCTCCTGGGCACCACTGCTTTCTGCAGCCACGGTCCTGGAGGGAGGGCTTTCCTCTAGAGGTCTTTTGCTTAGTACTAACGGAGGATTCAGCAATTTAAGGAGGATTCCATTTTGACTTCTGGAGCAGGACTGTGGTTTCAAGACCTTGAAAAATCACTGCTTTTGTTTACAAGGGCCCATGGTTGATTAGATTGCCCAAGAGCCATTGTTTGGCACCCATAGGTGTTTCTGGGTTAGATATGGGGAGGGGTTAGGGCAGCCCTTGCTGTTTTAGGCCTGGGCAGTTAGAACGAGAGCTCTTGCTGAGCTGAGTCTCCAGGGCCCCATGTGCTAAGAAACCAGTCTGGTTTTAGTTATGCTTTTGTGCAGGCTCCACCCTTTCCACACACTGCCTGGGGCCAGGCAAGCTGAGGTGAAGCTTCCTGATTGTTGTGAGGTTGTAAAGTTACCTGGTCTATGTTAATGTCTTACCCTGGGTTCTTGTCAGTGTCAACCATGCTCCCCAGTGGGAAATGGGTACAGAGATGGCAGAAATAGGTGCAATCGTGCCCAGGAAGCCACCACTCCTGGACACTGCAGGGCCAGTCTCTTTTGGGAATTACTCTCTCTCAGAACATGAGGGTACACCTGGAGTAGCTCACAGCCACATCCCATCTCTTCCCTGGATTGAGCAGGCAAAGAACTAGCTGGCGGGGCAGGGGCAGTGGGATCACTGCCTGCCCTCATTCCATATGTGCTTCTGACCCTGCAGGATACAGAGGAACCAGCCAGACACGCGCACACGGGCATGTTTAACCCAGTGGCTGTGCCGCCTGCACAACGAGGTGAACCACAAGCTAGGCAAGCCAGACTTCGACTGTTCTAAAGTGGATGAGCGCTGGCGTGACGGCTGGAAGGACGGCTCCTGCGACTAGAGGGCGGCCAGCCAGAGCCCATGGGGCTACCTGGCTAGAGAGGGGCAGGGCACTTATTAAAGTGCAGCAGAGCCAGAAGCTGTTGTGTTTTTGTTGGTTGGTCCCCAGACACTGCCTGTGGGGACACTTTCCTTCTTAGGTTTCAAAGGTACCTTCTGCAGGCACCCCTATGGCTTCCTCAGCTGAGGCCCTGTGAGGGCCACAGGTCAAGGAGTAGGAACAGCCTAGGCTGTCCCTTTTGTCCTGGA